TCTCCCACTTTAATGTCGTTTTCTGCACACATACGTTTGAAAAAGCGAACAGTAAATTCATTACAAACAATGGTCTGTTCACTGCCTGTCCACGCACTGTCGGTGTTATCAACCCTTGGCGAGCATGCGCAGTACCAGTATATACCAATGCTCACTGCTATACTTACCGGATAATTCGACTTTTCTTCTTTCGAGTTCAATCTCCAGCTTAGATATAACGTCATCGCATAATGCAACTGCTGTCCCAAACGTCACCTCGTTCACTTCATCGTTCAAGTTGCTAAGCCAGTCTTTGTGTTTCATGTAAACTTCTTTCATTTGCGGATTCTCTTCAGCTAGTTTTTCACACATCTCGGGGCCATTACTGCGAAATACTGTGATGAAAAATAATTTTTAATTTGAATTTTCACATATGTGTTTTTTGGGGGGGTCAAAAAGCGGCAGCATTGGGGGATGGTGATGCTATTCATGAAGAGGTGTGCGTAACAATTACATTTGTTTCTCTACTAAAGAAATGAGGGGGCTGCATTACTCGTTTCTCTTTAAAGGGCAGAGGTCGCCAGGACGCGTCGTGTTCGATGCACGTCCCACGCGATGTATGCTTTGTTTGCTCAAAGTTTTTACGCGTGCTTCACGATGACCACTGTCCTCTACGTGCATATATGTTTATAGTGTAACCACGGGCCGTCCACATGTATTGAAACATCAAGTATCCATGGTTACCTCGAATAAGATGACGAAATGCTGACGTAGGATAATCCGATTTGATTTCACATTTCTCAAAATCTGCATGTACTGGTACACCTAGTGATAATGTGTCGAGGTCCACTTTGTTTGCCAAGCTGATATAGTACTCGCACTGTTCGCCTTCTTCGGACGACGGGTCCGGAAACAATTTGGTTGCTAGGAAATAAAGAAATGTAGAATAATGAGTGAATGATTAGACACGAGGAGTGTTATTTGTGATCAACTGTGAATAAAGGCACAATATCGTCGAGTATCACAAATCAAAAACCTTTATCAGTTAGTTGCCAGCACCTAATTTTTCACACAATAAACATTTCCACGGGATGTAGGAAATATCACGGAAAATAGGAGTGTTATCTATTTATACAACAAACCATTCTCTAATTTCCACCATTTGTTGACACTAACCATTGAGACGCCAGACCACACTTGTTTTCGCTACTCAAAAATACCTCAACAACACACTGAAACTTTCAGATCAGCTACTTCAAAGTTTGCAGCGGGGAATAATGGCCAGTTACATTCTGGCTTGTTCCTCGTTAGGGCGTTCGCAACGCAGTCGCTGATTGGCTACTTGCATTGCCAATAACTTTGGCAGTAATAGGGCGTACTGTTTACAGTTATTGCCAAATCAATGGGCTATAACATCTATTAATACCTATGTTTTCATGGCTTCTTAAAAAAAAATTAACTTTGTTTATCCCTTTGTATATTTTGTGACACGATGAAAAAAATACAAGATATTACTGTCCCATAAATTAATTTCAAAAGAAAATATTTTGTTACATTCGTCCGTTCTTTTCAAACTTGGTCAAAATTTGACACAGGATGCTCACACGAGCGCCATCAGGCGATCACGATAGAAATAAGATGTTACAACAATCATATACAGCGATGGTTCAGCTTACTGTCTGGAAATGCGTTGTCAAGGTAACGCAAGATCTTCTCTGATTCGGTAACTATTTTATCTCCATGCTTTAACGTAGGGACTTGGCCATCTGGGTTGACTTGTAGAAATGAGGGCGAGTAGTTTTCCAGATTGCCGAGGTTTATGCGTCGTTCATCGTAAGATAGTCCCTTCTCTTCGAGACCAATTCGAATCTGTGAACCAAGGAATAATTGTATTTATTGTATATTGCAGAAACTCCGAAAACATACTGTAAAATATTTGTTTTAGCTAGCATGTTATTTTAGGTAATCGATAATTTCGTTAAGACCTCGCTAATTTATAATAATGTACATTTTCACCATGAGATTGTTGGCGCTTTATCGTAAAGGGCGAAAGTCGTCGCGCCACGCATGCGCGAGAAACAAAAATGGCGACTTTGACTGTTGCGCAGATCAACGAATACAGACTGAGACGTTACCAAACTCTAATTAGGCATTTTTAGGTGATTGGAAGGTATCGAAGGAATCACTGGCGGTAATTCATGCAAGTTCGCCCAATTCAAATCTCATCTTGTGATTTCTATTAGATGAGCGCATTCGATAGTGGGAGAATCAATGTTTTTCAACACACATGTCGCACATGCGCAGCGTGACGACTGCCGCTCTTTAATTATTAAGATTCTGTTAATTCATGCATTGAGTCAAATGTAGCTATTTATACGTGTACAATGTATGTCGGGTATATACAGAAATATTAGTACTTCGATGCGTAACTCGTCGTAGAGGGGGTATACTAAAACACATTCTAAACGGTGGTAATAGCGGTTGGCATAGAAGTGCGTGTCCGGAGTTAAACACTCCCTTACTGATTTACAAAATACGTATCAAGAAAAACGTCAGTATCCTAGTACCTATAGGAGACACTACATACTTGACGATGTCATTTAGACTGACTTGTTTAAAGAGTTCGTTTTTACAACACTGTTTTTTTCTGCAATATTACATTTTGCCATGAAGTATTCATGTGCGCTCTCCACCCCCGTATTCTATTTACATGAGAGCATGTATCTGATGTTGCTCGACTGCTGGGACCACATAACACACACATTCACAAACCACTTATAACGTTACGAATAACTAGTAATGCAGAGTATTGAAATTCCTGCAGCATGACTCATTGCCAAGTGAAACTGTGTCATTCCACTGAATGCCACGCCCTTTTTTCAGTGTAGCATGTTTAGAACAACAACAAATCGGTTTCGCTTCTCGTCATCGTCTGCAGAAGTTTGACACCAACAGTAAAGTGCGCCAGATACGGTATAATACGGAAATGTTGCGAGTATTGTTGAGCATTATTTAATAAATTTTAAACATTGAACATATATTTCGTTGTGGTGGTCACTATTAAACAATCTTATTCTTAAAAACAATTAATGCCGCATCATTTTTCAATTCTATCCTGGACGAAAAGCAACATTTTTTTGCCTTAGTTCCATTCGTTACTTTCATGCATGGAAGTAATGATTAGATATATCATTCGAGGCAGCTATTCATTGGAAGAACGTTAACGTCATTCTCAATCTGATTAAAATAAGATCCTGGTTGGCTTAATTTTTTTTAAATTTTTTTTTATATAATTACTATAATTATTATTTATTTTAATTATTTACAATAATTATTATTTATTTTAATTATTGTTGACGTTACAATTATTTTGCTGCAAGAATGGTTTTGTTCGTGAAAGCCACCAGGTGGCAATTAAAATAAATAATAATTATAGTAATTATATCAAAAAAAAAATTAAAAAAAAAATTAAGCCAACCAGGATCTTATTTTAATCAGATTGCGTCATCTTCATATATAAGAAAGATATTTTATTTGAAATGTCCGAATAAATTTTACGTATCATTCAAACTCGCCGTTTTTTGATGAAGCACTCAGTCAACGGTTAAATTAGATTATATCATCATACACGTATTTTATCGCGCAAACAAGCAACGTTTTGTTTGTGAAAGAAACATTCCAGTCCCGTTGACGATGGCATTTCAATGACCTAGTGGGAATGCTATAACGTTGTACGTCGCCCCCCCCCCCCATTGTTACTAGTAATTCAGACGTACTTGTACACGCTAAGCCAGCATAACTTCTCTCAGTTACCATGTAATGCTCATCTCGTAAACAACGAGAGTGAGAAATGCTGGTATGTATACACATGTGTAATTTAAGATTGTCCCGTAATTAAATAATAGTGTATTAAAACCTCGAAAAAGGAACGGGTAGGCGGACTGTATGTTTAACGCCGAAACCACACAAGTATGATGTACGCCAGTGTTCACTGGACTTTCTACATTAATATCATACACGTTATTAATAGCTATAATAACAATTAATTGTACACATTTGATGACTAAGAATCCGTAGTAATTATATATGTATAATAAACCATAAATAATAATTATTATTTAACAATGCTAAATACAAAATCACGTGATTGCCAACGAATATGTATAGAATAGATTATGGTCGATCTCGGGCGATAATATAGGCGAAAATGTATCGTTTTTTTGTTTTTGTTTACAAAATAGTTACCTAATAATTTATTGGAACATAGCACACGCTGTTTAACCTATACGAAAGTTTTTGTTAAAACAAACAGGACCGAAAATATAAAAAAAATGAACAACATTGGAATATTTCACGATGAGACGCTTTTGTCATAGGACCCAATGATGAATTTGTGGTTCGCGTTAGCCATTTTCGAAATAATTGGCCACATTTTTTGTGCAAAATGTAGTTCAGTGACCATGTTTTTTAACATCGTCATCTTGTGAACAGCGGTATGGGGACATATTGGCATTTTGTACAGTAATTGTGAACTTGATACAACGATGGGTTGCTGGTTGAAACTGGGGCATCAATACTAGCTCAATACTGCACCCAACCAAAATTATGAAGTCCATTATAAACGTTGATTCATAATGCATACTTCAGCACTGACGTCATTTTATCGGGTGTTTCCCATTCAAGGATAATCTAGAATATTGCTGGCAGTGTGTGTTTAAACATGAAACACGAGGGCGTGTTGCACCCTGGGCGGAATTGTATCACATAAACGCATATCGTCTAGAGACGTAATACATATAGGCACGTGGTACTCTCAATATAAAAAAAACAACACTCTAGTAGAATAAATCACATGGCAAGAAAAGGGGAGGTGATTGAAGTGGTGAATTACGATACAATATAATATTAATTTCTAGAATAATTTCAAGGTTTAAGAATTCATAACGTTTATTTATGGAGGACATATGTTTTTAAACAGTTCTATTTCCATTCGACACTTCGGACATATTGGTACACGTCTTTGCTAGGTATTATTTTTATACAAATTCAGATATCGGTATTTAATTACATTAGGACAAATTAAAATAACCATGACAGTGACCTCGCAATAAGTGGCCTTTAATATGTATTGCGGACCGTGACAATTACACCGTTTAACATGGTTTGATCGTATTTTATTAAAATTCCGCGCAAATAATTCGCGACGCATCTCCGCAGAGGTAACAAACATCGATATCGCTGTCAACGTCATTCTTGTACCCCGGCGCGTTTTTAATAAATGTCCTACTGTGCTCTGTTGAAATCATTGAATGTTAAGATTTCTTTCTCGTAGTAAAAAATTAACAACTACTGTAAAGTAAGTATGGGTGTCTTCAGCTCTATGTCTATATCTGAGACTAATATGAATTAGAATGTCTATGAAAGGTGTTCAGTCGAGAATATATAAATGGTTCTAGAAAATCAAGTTTCTGAAGGTAACATTTCAAAACGTATATACTAGTATTTATTTATTTTTTTTGCGTTTTTGTCATGGTAGTTAACTTGATATAGTAGGCATATCAGACAATATTATGTCCCTTCAATGTTTGCGTCATACAGTATGTTAAATTTAACTGTTCATTGCAAATGCAGCTCATAGTGGCCCGACGCACATATTGTGCACCCTTTTAATATTAACCTCCTGTGTCATGCAGTCATTAGGAATCCACAACTGTTGAAGAAATCTACACCCGCCTATCAATCGTGGAGGCCTCGCCTTCAACAAACCACTTCGTTACTAGCACATCCGATTCGGATCAATGTGCATTCATTAAACAGTACATTCGCTGTTTTTCTACGTAAGCTCTTGTATAGAAAAACTGAATTATAATGGTCTCATTGTGCATCACAACAACAATATTGAAGACAGACAATGAAAGCATTAACTATCTGTTCGTATTTAAATAACAAAGAATGTGTGAATGTACTGCCAGTCTACGGACAAAGATGTCTATATATATATAGACGGGACATTATATACGAGAAACGAAGACTGTCGTAAAATTGAAAAATAAAATGTCTGTGCAGTACACACTATTGGAAGATCTGAAACATGATATTCGCCGATCCATGACTCCTACGTGGCCGTATTTTTTCAAAACTCGGGGGTTGACACTTTTATACAATCTTACTTCTTGCGGGGGCTGTTCTGGCTTGATTCCAATGTAAAAATGAATGGAATGGAAACTATAAGCGCTATTGTTTTACCGAGTACGTGACCAAAGCAGTACTTCAAATAGTTTTTCAGCTGTGAATTTCTAACGAAATCTCGCAGTCGAATACTAGGGATTGTGCAAAATCATATTAAATCGCCTCTTTGTTGTTGTTGTTCAAGTTGTTGTGAACATCCATGTAAACAGGTTGCCAGCGTTTTTGTAGCACCAAACTTTAAAATATCATTCTATTGCTGTGGTATACTGATATGAACAATTTAAAAATAAGCCACATACGGGGTCTATTTCAGACCAATAACTACGATATATATTTCAGTTTGCGTGAAAGAGTGGGCGTGTCAAATAACCGTACAGAATGGAGAATCTCGCTGAGATACTTACTCTGTGACAGTAGAAAGACTTCTGCGAATAATAAAGAGTGATGTCAGTCATATTTCTGTGGTTTCTTGGTGGGAATTATCTACGTTCTTCAGTCAGCTGCAGTCTCTTCCTTGCCACTATCTCATTAGCCCCTCACACAAACGCAGTGTTGATACAGTGTGCATGGACAGCGTACGCAATACACGGGTCAACTTGCACACGGGCGTAGACACTGAGCGCTAATTGGAGGAAATGAATACAAACAACCATGGGCCAGGCTTCTCTCAGGCTGGCGAAAGGGCAGTGTACTTATTTAGTCGTAATTTGAAAACTAATAAACACTAACAAGTTTCCCGTAATTGTTTCTATTGGGATTTTGTAGATAATAATATTCACCAGTGTGTTCCTTCCGAAGAGAAAATCCGCAAGTTGTTCGCCATTTTGTGCTTCGGTGTATGTTTAACTTTAAAGAAATCATTTTCGTTAAATTCAAATATTTTATAATCGCCCTTATACCACTTTCGAGGTAAATCGTTTACTAGACTTATTTACTTCAAAAACATTCTCAATAGTGCATACACATGGTATATGACACAATGAGAGTTTAATAATAAAGACATTTGTCCTGTCGTTCATTGAACCCTAATAAGTATTCATCGGGCAAATGAACTAGACCGTGAGATCGTACTAGCGTAACGCCCACCCCGGTATGATCTACACATGCTTTGCATTTTTGCAATCATTATTCCTCAGCTCATGAGAGCGAGGTTATTTTTTGTAGTTATGTTGGCGATCGCCGCTGTGTTTGCGGAAGTACTATGGTAGATTGCGTGATGGGAGTGAAAAGTCTTTTGATCAGTAAAATAATTTTAGAAAAGTGAAAGTTAAAGTGATTGTGAAATAAAGGTTGGTTTTAAATATGAAATATGAAATCTGGATGTAATAATGAAAGGAAATTGAACTGGTATGAAAGGGCAGAATCCGGGGGTCAAAATACGTCACAATACATCCATCAAGGCGGTTGCAAAGTGTCAACAACTATGGATGCGGTATAAGACTTCATTTGCAGTTTGCGTGAATGGCCGGGGAGAAAAATTCATGCAAATTCTGTGCTTCAGTAACAGTATTTGCTACTTTTTTGTGCAATGGAAATTAATTCAAGAAATGCTACCAAAAGACATGTTCTTCTAGTAAACAAAATAACCTTGGGACGTTTATCTTGAGAAATTGAGAACTCAAGACAGTCGTTGTTGTGAAACAATAGACATGCTTCTCCAGGCCCGCGGGGTATCAAGGGTATTTTGATCATTTGAAGATGGAAAAAGGAGTAGATCGGATGTATATTCTGACAGGCCACGTCCTGTTAACACATATCCAACTCATATAGTAATTCCCTTGTAAAATACTCATGTAATTTTTCTTATTAAAACTTTGCCACAATACAACAATGACAGGGTGATCTACATTTCAATGTTTACTTACATTTTTATTTTTACAAGCACATTTTAACATTTACACAGTCTCATTTTTATTTTTCACATTTCAATTTTCACTTAAATTATTTCACATTATTTTTACAAATACTGTATTTACATGTGCATCTACTAGAGGAAATATGGTACATTTTTATTTTTACAAGTACTTTTTCACATTTCAATTTTCACTTAAATTTTTTCACATTATTTTTACAAATACTGTATTTACATGTGCTTCTAATTTGGTACATTTTTATTTTTACAAGTACTTTTTGTATTATCTATTATTTTACATTTTTAGTGATTTTTTTAATAATTTTTTTGACCGAAAACATTATTTTTGCCCTTTTTTTCCAAAACTTTTGTCCAAGTTACATTTTAACATTTACACAGTTCTGTTTTTATTTTTACAAGTACATTTTTCGTTTACTTTTTATTTTCAGGTATGTAACAATTTTTTTTTTATTAATGATGTTATTTAAAATAAAGATTGGTTTCTAATGCAATATATATTGTTTTTTTAATTACTAAACATCTTACACAATGGAATAGACTGCATTATCATTATAGTGAACCCCCTGATGTAATCCTAATGTAATATGCAATTCATTATCACAAAACTATTTCAATGCGCCATCCCCAATAAGTTACTCTCCCTTTAACAAACTATTAAAAATTACATACTCAGTTCATTCCATGAATGTAAAATTGAGAAGGCACAGATATAAAAAAATTAAACTCTTAATATGATTTTATATCAAAAGCCAGAACAATTCCCCTGGAGAGAATACTAGTATATGAAATAAATTTAGATAAATTCTGCTCAAATACAGAAAAAAAACAATTTTAAGCAGAAAAAATAACTTACAAATACAGGTTAATACTGATATTTATTGTTGATGAATACATGTAAAAACATGTAATGTATTTAACTGTATTAATTAAGTGCAAATACTTACTGTATTTAGCCTGTATTGTTGATTTATTCAGCAAAAATAATCTCTGTATTGAACATTTATTATCCTGTATTGGGCTTTAATACAGGCATTATTACAATTTAATACAGGCTGTATTTTAGGGTTTTCATGCAGTGGAAACTGCTGCTTTATGGAAGAGCAAAATTTAATGTAATTGGCACAGTAATGACGTTTTTAGAGGGGTGACTCGCTAGAAGTATTCGCCGTAATTCCGGACTTTTCATTCGAGTTTATACAAGACTTACATGTACATGTATTTGCACAATGTGAATGAGAGGTTTATTGTCAAAATATATACGGGTGCTTGTATGCCTATTGAAACTATACAAAATTCGACCAATGCACATCCGTTTCATGTGTTAAAAGAACATTGCGATGTTCTCATGGAATTGTTAAATCTTGGTATCATTCCCAACTGTCACCAAACTGTACGTTTTGACGACTCGTATGCACTTCTGGGACTTGCAATACTTTTCTGGAAACTGTACAGCAAATCACATATTTTCATTATTAATTGTTCATAGTTTTTCTAAATTTCAGTTTTTATTGTTTATAATTATTTACAGTAATAAAACATTTTTCCGATTGTGTGCACTGGCATGACAGCTTTGCCCCACACTCGATAAGACAAGATGATATGTACGGGTACGTGTGAGTATGTTTCATGGATTAATAGGTCACTCCTTTGCTTCAATTCCAACTATATCTCTGGAAATATCACTTGCTGTTTATCATCCTTGGCCCAAACATAGTATGTTTTCAAA